TGGGCAATGAGAGCTACCTCTTGTGCAATGGTGTGGGCATCGTCGAAACATTGGCACAAGAAGCCGACAGGAAAACCTAAAATTGAATTAAGTAGAGATTGTCGTATCTAATAAAATTTTCTTAATGTTCATGCAGTATTAAGGAATAATATTAGTAATATCTCCTTAAATTCTGAATGTAGTGCATGACTTCAGGGGCATATTTCTACTGTGCAATCCTTTTTTAACTGGCTTCATGATTGCCTATAAGTTCTTAACATTTTGTTGTGTCAGCCTCCGAGGACGAAATCGTCGTCTTCCGTTTGGCTGTCACTCGAGATGCGCAATTTCAATCAGTGATTTCGTCAGTGTGCATCTGACTGGTATCCATTTTCAGTGGATTTTCGGTTAGTCCGTCTCCAGACTTTCTTGTTGCCGATTTTTTCCTGGTCGAGTGACTTCGAGTTTCGCGGTAATGAAGGTACTTGTTGACGGAATTTTGCAGTATCTCCTTGAAAACTCTTCCTGTGACTAGTCAAGCCTCTAAACCACATAGAAGAACTCAAATTGCAACAGCAGAGGGCAAGACATGGAAGCCTTGGTATATTTGATTAATCATACCACTGTTTACATATCTACAGTTTATATTCGTTAACCAATCAATCACGAAGCGTGTGATTTCAGGTAGCATCAAAAGACATGAAATACAATGCACAAATATACATAGTATTTTGTTGTTAATTCAGTATTTAAACGTGGGAAAAGTATTCTGTCTGTAACCTCAAATAGAATGTTCGTATAGATATATTCTATTCTATTACTATTGCCAACTTGAACTGTATGAATGTGAGAGAATAACATGCCACTGTGTCACACATTGTCTGTATTACACAATCACAACATGACATTGGTATTGAAAAACTGCGTCTTGTTCCTGATGCAAACTCAGGCAGATTTCTACACGTATTTCAGAATAATGAACGCTTGTTTTACCTTACGCATTCCGCCTACAACATCCTACAAAATCCAGACCGACTGCTTATATTTGAACTCATGCTGACAAGATCAGTTGGAGATGTAACTTCATTCAGATGTCTACCGTTGACAGGGATTGCCACATCTCACTGTTGGTAAGCTATCACCTCTATATTCTTTATATTCACTCGAAATCCTGTCTTCGCTGTCTCTTTTGTATATGACATTAGGCGTATACCATCCAGGGAGTTTGAAGCTTCACACAAAATCAAATAAAAATTATTTTTTTATTATAGCATTAAGTGAATGAATTTCCGTTTCCCATTGATTGTTTATGTCGGACGAAAATGATAGGAATGCGATGTTTTAGTCTCAGTGGAGGTGAAAGCGCATCCAGCCTACGAGTCATAAGTAGGATGAAATGCATATTCTGGATTCCACTGATATTCACAGTCGATCGAAATAAAATACTGAACAACTATATTGAACAAATGCTATAACCATGTGTAATAATTTATTGTAGTCTTAGTATTAGTATTTCGAGATGACCGAATTACACGAATCCAACCAAAACACAGAGAGGGCAGAACTCAGGAATTTGTATTTAGCGGAATTATTATGCAATTCATATAAGAAATATTAACAATCAACAGTAAGTATTTAAACAATACAGAGATAGAAATAGTCAATCACCACATCTGCCACACGTCGAATGTCTCCTTGCGTATTTATAATGATATCGCGGTTTGCTTGCCAGTCTCTGCGATCTTCTAACTGATTCTGTGATATCATTTCCATCAGTATCATCTAGACTTATTTCTGAATTATCTCATTTATTCTCACTTGATCCAAGTGTCTGTTATGAACTGAGTTATCTTCGATGTCTAATATCTTCACCATTCGATTTCCTATTCTTTGTAGTATGATACCAATAGAAGGTCTATAATCATTCCCTCTGTAATAATGTACATCAGAAGTCGTGGACATCAGATGCTGACGTAGTGGGAGCAGAGTATTCATTATTGACATCTTCATATGTAATGCATAAATCTTTAGCAGTTTGAAAGGTACAAGAAGGAATCTGAATTAACTCTTTCTCTAACTTAGGAATATTGATTCCAGAAATTAGACGATCACGTAGTTGAGTATGCAGCTGATCTCCAAAATTACACTTTGAAGCTTGTATTTGGAGTTGTAGAATAAAGTCTCTAATCCTCTGGTTGAGAGCACGAACCAGTTTATGGAATTGAGCCCTCTCTCTGGTCTCAAATGTAGTTACGTGAAAGTGATTTATAAGAAGTTCACGAATCTTGACATATGACAGAGAAATAGGTTTATCTGGAAATGACAGAGTCTTTACTAGGCTATACGCAACTGGCCCAATAGCAGTGATGAAATGTGCTGGTATTTTGTCATCCTGAACATTCTTTGAAATGCACCACGCATCAAAACATTCCAAATAATCAGCAATCTCCCGCGGAGACCCATTAATAGGAAATTTTCCCAGGTTATTTAGTTCCATCGCGACGCCAATTTGTAGTAATTTATTGTAGTCGTAGTATTAGTATTTCGAGATGACCGAATTACACGAATCCAACCAAAACACAGAGAGGGCAGAATTCATGAATTTGTATTTAGCTAAATTATTATGCAATTCATATAAGAAATATTAACAATCAACAGTAAGTATTTAAACAATACAGAGATAGAAATAGTCAATTACCTCACCATGCTATAAATTCACAAGACTAAAGGATGGACGGAAGAAGTACTTATATATATATATATATATATCTTTATATAACTGAATTCGTGCGTCGGTGGCATAGCGGTTAGCACGCTCGCCGACCATGCACATGGTCCGGGGATCGATTCCCGGCCACAGACGCACTCCTTTACCTCGCTAAGCCAGAAATAATCCTGGTTAAGAGGAAAGGTTGGGCATGAGGCTAGCAACCTCATCCTATAAAATAAACACTGCTACAGAAACTTCAAGCCACTAGCTTGAAGCCCTATGTTCCACAGGGGAACGTAAAGGAAAAATTATTTTTTTATTATATAACTGAATTCAGAGAATCACCAATGTACTGATTATAAATATGTTGGCAATAATTAGTCACCATCAACAAGTCAGGGGAGATAACTAACCAAAAAACATATATTTCAGTGAGTAAACGGTAAAAATGTATGAAGATATTGGACAAGTGGATTACATAATGCCTAATTTAAGAGAGAGGAGACGAGTGAATCCGGATTATATGAGTATGTACTGTTGGCATAGGTAAGTCGACAGTTCTTTTGATTTGACAGCCTGTAGTGCTAGACACTTTTAAGCTGTATTATTTACTCTGCCATTTCTTGCCTCGAGTTGTGTAGGCTAAAAATAAACATAAAAACAGTAGAGTTCACGTACTGTAACCGACATCCTTACTCTTAAAATCCTTATCATAGTAAACGTAGGCTGTGACGACAGTTAATTGCAGTTTGATTCTAATGCAGTATCTGAGTAGTAAAGTTGTGGTGGTGTGATACAGACATTTGGCTCCAACGGAATATTATTCTCACTGTAATAATCATTGTATTTGTTGGTTTTAACGTCTATTCTCACAGTTAAATACTACACTGGAAACAAAATAATAAAAGTATTTGAACATTCTATTTCATATAATTTAATGTAAACTAAAGTCACTAGCTCAGTGATCAGTTAAGTAATGTGAACCGTATAGGTAAAAGTGTGGTGAGAGCAGGCTGCTAGCCGATTGGTTGACACTAATCTACGTTAATGTCTAGGTCACTAATATGGGCCGTGAGAAAATATGAACAAGGCTGATTCAACAATCAATCACAGCAAAGTTAACGTGGCAAAATATGATTCGCAGATAGAGAACTCTATTTGTCAAGGAATCCCGAAACAACCAATCAGAAGCCTGCGTTTGTCTGCAACCAATCAGATGACTGCGCTTTTCTACTTGCATAAGTTATAATAATGTATGTGAAATATATATAAATACGTGTTGATTTTCATAATAGAACGATCTGTTGCCTGCCCTTGTCTTCTGTTGTTACATTTTGTGTCGCTGCCTACTGACAAATGGAAAGCCTATGCCCTGCTGTTTTTGATGGAGACATATGGATTTCGGGCAGGACTTCAAGGCTTCTGCGCAGTTGAGTGGCGTTCAAGATCTGTCAGCGATGGAGCTGCTACTCGGAACGCTGCTGGGAGTCGGGTGAAAGCAGCATATGAAAGTGTGAGACGAAATACTGACGAATGTTCGACAGGGTCAGGCAAACAGTTTCCAAAGTGGGAAGGACCACATATGGTCACTTCGAGATGGGATTACGTGAACACAATCGCAATGACGAACAATGAGAGGCGCGTGAACGTCAGCGAGCTCCAGAAATGGATACAGCGAAACAAGCCAACGATGACGCCTGCACAAAGTAGATCAAGCCGACTTCAGTCGCACGTATTTGACGGGGGACGAGTGTGGTCGTGAGAAATATGAACAAGCTGATTCAACAACCAATCACAGCAAAGTTAACGTGGCAAAATATGATTCGCAGATAGAGAACTCTATTTGTCAAGGAATCCCGAAACAACCAATCAGAAATACGTGTTGATTTTCATAATAGAACGATCTGTTGCCTGGCCCTTGTCTCCTCTTGTTACAAAAGTAGCCGTTTGATCGCTTGAAAACATACCTTGGCCTACGCGTCTTGCCTTCCGCTGTTATAAAGTGAACGTACACTGAGTTTTATCCTTTTCCGGATTATGGATATATGATGTTGAAAGGTGTTGACTGTTCCGTGAGCCTTGACTTTCAGTGGGTCTCTAATTGATGCAAGTCTATAGTAGGATCTTACTTGTAAGTGAGGTAAGATGGTTAGCTGATGCATATCAATGTACTCAGGCATTGTTATTTCAAAGACTGGTATTATGCTTCCAGTTCTTGTATACAATCACTAATACACAACTGTTTTTATCACATATTATACTATGAAGTAAATTAGTCCATTTTTAAAGATGTTCATTTATTATATTTCAGGTATTATGGAACAAATTGGGTCTTGACTATCCACTGACAATAGGAAAGAATCGTTTTATACCGGATGAGAGATTTCATGTACAGTATAAACCGCCGAATCGTTGGCATTTAGTTATTAAAAATGCTCAATTAAATGATACTGGTGTATATTCTTGTACGACTGGCTCTGGACTTGGCGACAGCGCTAGCAGTAAAGACTCTAGTGGTAATTCACATTCATCAAACAAGAATGAAAACTTGGAGTCGTCTGTGACTAGAAGACGTCAATCGAAAATGAAGATAACAGATGATACAGCGAAAAGAAAACTGAAAGGTCGTGAATATTACGTCTCAGTGGGTAAGTACTAACGTACATTACTGAATGGTGTACTTTTGAACAATTGAATTAATCAATCTATGTGATTTGTTTTGCTGAATAAAATTATCACATGTTACCCGATGGTAGGATTGTAGGATGATTACGTCTGGGTGCATAAAGCATCAAATATTTTAATAATAGGCAAGCACGTGTACCGATAGCATTCAGTATTCTGGTGACTGGCATCAGTCACTAATTCTCAACTTTTGAATGTTAGTTTGCAGGAGTTTGATTGATTTAAATGTTGGTCACCACCAATGAAAAATAAAAGAGTACTGACGAGTTGTTTAGCCCTTATTTAGGACTCTTCGGCCATACGTGTCAACTACCACACCTGCTAGATATCCAACCTCGGAGGATTCTGGTTACTAGGCGATTCGGTGGTCATTCGACGAGTGAGACGGATTCTATCGTCTTATAAGCTCTAACCATATGTCAATTTGCAACGAAACCATCAGCCAGTGACATCGCCAATTATCTGTCCTCACGGCCAGTTTCCTGGACGCCACCGATCATGACTTCTCACTAGAATTTCAGGCAGATTCATCCTGTGTTCAGTCAATTTTCCTTTATCTGAATTCATATATAAGCAAACTGGGACATTATCATTTTATCGAGTCATATCATCAGTAGTATGTATTTGCCATAAACCGAAGTAAGGAGTATTTGGGCATCGCGCTAATCACTTCTCTTAATCTTTATTCATAGGTTCCGTTTAGACACGATATTGAATAGTGTGGTCAAAAGGGAAAAAAAAGTGCTAGTGAAGAATTCGATCAACGCCCAAGAAATCAACTTTTTCGATGACACTTAGATTTTGAGATTTTTAGGCATTCGGATTCTTGTAATTTCTACAGCCCACTGATGGCTAGTGAATAGATATTCTGAAGGTGTATTGAAAAATTATGACCAGCAGGTTCCACTCTGTCAAGGTGAAGCGGATGACAAAGACAGAAATCACGAGTGACTGAATTCCAACTAAAGTTACTGAATGGTCAACGAGCATAGTCTCTTAATCGGAAGATCCTGGGTTCGATCCCAGGTGAGGTTGTGGGTATGCACTACTGAACAGTCTCGTATTAGGCTGAAATAGCTGCTCATTCCTGCCTGATTTTCAATGATCAACGTAACTGATTCTGTTTCAAATTAGATTTCAGCGGTGACAATACTGACAATAATGACAGCTTTACTCTGAAAGCTGCAATTGCACACACTTCGGAATCCTCACGTATTTTAATGTAAGGTATTCACTCCATGTACAGAATCATCAAATGAATGGATACTCGACAGTATTTTATTTGAACCAGTATTAATTGTCATATCTGTGAGCCAGTGGCACAGCTGTAGAATGCTGGCCAACCACACCTCACGTGGTCCGGAGTTCGAACCCAGCCGATGCCGCATATCTATACCTTGCTAAGCCACTAATAAGACTGGTAAAGAGGGGCGGTTGGGCATGAGGTTAGCAACCCCATCCTGTAGAAATAAACACCACTGCTACTGAAATTTCAAAGTTCTAGCCTAAAACTCTATGTATCACTAAGAAAGTAAAGGGAGGAAAGCTGTTCTGTTTGAAACACTCTGCAATACCCTGCATCTTTCTTCTTGCATTTCCTTCAGCAATGTCAGAGCAGTAGATTGTAACTTTATTAAAAAAATAGTCAAAAGTACAGATAAAACTGTATGCTCGTGAGAACATGAAATAAAAGTAGTTGTGATGTGTTAGAAATGAGTAGAAAATTTGACTGCGCAGTGATTTAAAAAGATCACCGTCTTAACTGAATACGGTAAGCAGTTCAACTGTTGTCAGTAATGATGCATGGATCCCTTTGAAACAATATATAAGAGGGGACAACATTGTTTTGAACTAGCTCACATCACTATTAATCAGAGATCAATTATTTCAAACCAACATACTTAATCAACGGGTATAAAATGTCAACTCAGACAAATAATAACTGATATTCATTGAGCACAAGATGGCCATCGTGGCCTCACTGGCCCATTAAAGAATGCTTTGGTATTTCAAACAGTTGACACAAGACTGGAGTTTCAGTGGGAATACCATAACGCAGTAGCAATACAGGGAAATTTAGCTGACAAGTTCAAACAGAATGAAATGCGTCAGTCACCTTCGAACAAAATAACAGCAGAATAATCTCCGTTGTCAGTGGAGTTAAACCAGGAAAGCCTAAATCACAGTGACCTTGTATCATTAATCAGATATCAGCTGCAAGAAAAATTGCATAAGAATTAAAAAATGTATTAGGAACTTTGTAGAAATCATATTAAACTAGATGATGGTCTTGTTTTTGTTGCAAAAATATCTCTTATTTTCTCCAGGGATCATCAGCAGAGAATCTAGATCATACCTGAACTATTTATTGATCCAGGCGGCCGTAAATCATAGTAATTTGGAATCTATTCTTCAGCCTCCCTAAAACTCTTCAATGGAATTAGTGTTAGAGGTTGCGACTAGATCCACAAGATCCGAAGAGAGGTTAACACCATGGTTAGTATAATTCAGAAATGATAGTTGCTGATATCCCCTTCATTATTTTGTTCGTAGAGTCACTTCTGGTGGCACTAAGCGCTGAACAAGTGGATTTATGGCTGTAGCACTTCCGTTCCTTGTTGTTATCATGACACCTTTGAGTAGTGAAGTGTCGTATATTCCAAGCACATACACTTGGTTCTCCCAGCTTGTTCTTCTATTATACTTCCTCTTAATGGAGACATTTTCATCAATACGAACCGGGACCCCTACTCTTCCAAGACGGGCGGTAATTCTGTCTCACTCACATGACGCTATGTTTCCACAGTTCTAACACCATTCCACTGCAGAGACAGAGCTATTTCCGGTCCCTTCCAGTACCTAAGAGGTGAGCAAATTACTGCACTTACCCTCACTATCCGATTTGCTCTCATGGCATAAATGACATACATTAAAAAGTTTATCTCCACAACGTCGAAAGGCTTTGTTGTCATGGTCTTCCACCCGACAGAATCACACAAGAGTTGGTGACCCTAATTAGTTTATCGTTGACACAGTAGTCGAGTACTCTTCATCGAATATATAAAGGGAGGCATAATTTAGATTAGGAATGATATTTCGTAAGGTCCTCTAAATCTAATAAAGTAGAATTCTATTTCAATAGCTTACACACAATGATAAGTTTTGTTATTTGGTAATTTTGCTCGAAATATTACCAATAACAAAACTTATCATTGTGTGCAAACTATTGAAATATAATTATACTTTATTTGATCTAACCCACAATGCTGAAACTTTTTACTGATATTAATCCTCTAAATCTGATTATTTCTCGGAGGTCAACTTTTCACAAAACTTTAGATTTGATAGTTTAGATTCGTCCTGTAGTCTCAACCATGCTTAGTCCTGTGAATATGTCTAATAACCCTCACCTAACTTCAAGTTATAATAAAACTTAATTGGTTGGAATATTATGCTGGTATTTGTATATTAGTTTTTGTCTTTGAGATTCTGTGCACATGTTGTCTGATTAATCAAGAAGTATGTAGGAAAATATAAAAAATAACACTATAGGGATAGTGATAGTGGTAATAATAATAATAGTAATATTAATGACGACATGTATGTCAGACATGCGCAAGATAATGACAACAGCGACAATAAGGAATCTAAATCATCAGTAGTAATTCCATACAAGGAATGGACCTTGGAAACATTAAGCAGAATTCTTATTAGTGCAGGAATAAAAGTGGCTGGCATTCAAACTACCCACAAACTTACTTAGAAAAACGCTTTGTTTGTTAAAGGATCCTGTGAAGCCTTAAAAATAAAACAATTTAGTTTATCTACTACCCTGCTGAAATGACTGTCAAGTCAAATACATAGGACAAAGTAGTTGAACAGGTGCAGTCAGACTAGCCGAGCATAAAAATCTAGCAGAATCTGGATTAACTGACCCGAATAAGATAAGAAATCTAGAGAATAGTTCACCTATAGCACTCACTACATGCAGATACATACAATCATACAATAGGACGGACAGGGTGAAATGACAGTTTTAAATCTAATTTAAGAGGGTGAAGAGAGAAAGATTCATAAGCAAAGCTTTATTTATCGAATCAATTGCAAACACGTGAAATATGAATGATTCAACGCCTATCCATCTGGAACATTCTACTCCTCCCAAGACTAATAGAAGAGAGTAAATATTCCTATTGATATGATTATGAATCATAAACTGTGTTCTGAACTTTGTCATCCAGTAAATACTAATACTGTTCTACTCACTGACTGTGTGTGATATATCTATCTAATAAACAAACTAATATGAATAGCATACTACCAAAGTGCTCAAGTTTTAGCCATACGCTGAGGAAACCATCAAGTGACATCACTAGACAAGCCATTGCTCGAGTGGAACCCGAAAGGGAAGCGGCGAGTTGGTCGTCAGTGCAAGGGTGACTTGGAGGAGGTCATGCGAGGAGGAGATGAGAGCATGTGGACAGACCTGGAGCAGGGTGAAAAAGTTGTCAGAAAACCGAAGGCAATGGAGGTGCGCAGCTGAAGCCCTATGTTCCTCTAGGAACTAAAGGATACAATAATAATAATAATCTGTTTTTAATTTCCTGTTATCGATTAATTTCATTTAAACAAATTATTGTACACTAGTACAATAATTTATTTTGTACGAATCGCCGCCTTATCGTCATAATCAAGAGCTTTGTTTGGTCCCTATATATTTCCTCGAAAAAAATCCATAAATCCCACGTCTCACTTCTGAAGGTTTTCGTCGAAAGAACAAAAAACTGAGGATAACACGTTCACATTCTTTAGGATAGTAAACAACACAAGATAATTTAGTTTTCCTCAAATTTCACTGAAGTTACCTTTATCCACCTTAAAAAAGCTCACTTTTTTCTTGAGATAGAAGCCGTTGTTATTCTTCTTTTAGCGCTAGTGACGTAATCGTTTAACAGCTTCTTCTACTTGAACATATAATCCTTTGTTTAACTTGTTTCCCTAAGGCTTATTAAAATGTTTTACTTCTTTGTTACTTTTTTTCACTCTCTGAGTTGAACTCACTACATATTTATCAGTTATTTATAGTGGACTCATCATTTTTACGTAACTGCTTGTTTTTAAATTATTCAGAATCTTTGCATTATGTAGGATTTCTCATGTGTAGGCGTATTTTCTCAGCACATTTGGTTTATTATTTAAGAGTCCACTAATAAATGAAGTCATGTCATTCATCTAATTACGTAATAAATCACTGTACGTATACATTTATTATTATTATTGCTCCCTTCGGTTCCTAGTGGAACATAACGCTTCAACTGCACGAATCCATTTGCTTCTGTCTTCTGCCGTACTTTTCGCCTCAGTCCATGTTAGTCCATATTCTTTCAACTCCTCTTCACACGATCTCCTCCATGTCACTCTTGCACTGACGTCCCACTCGTCGCTTCCCTTTCGGCTCGTTCCACTCGAGGGCTTGACGTGTGATGTCACCCAGTGGTCTCCTCAGCGATTGTCCGATCCATCTCCACTTTCTCCTGCATATTTGTTGGTTGGCGATTGGTTCTTGCTTTGTTTGTTCCCATAATTCCTTGTTGGTGATTCTTTCCGGCCATCTGATCTTCAGTATAGAGCGAAGACAGTTGTTAATAAAGGTCTGCAACAGGCTGTTGGAAATATTCTTTGTGACTCCCCGCCAAGTTTCTGATCCGTATAGAACCTGACTGACTTTACGTTTGTATTGAAAATCCGAATTTTGTTGTTGATGCTGCTGAGTGACGAAGATTTCCAGATTGATTTCAGGTTGATGAATGTGTTTCTCGCCTTCCCGATTCTCGCTCGATTTGACATCCTCGTCCGCTCCTCCTGTAGTTGAGACAATGCTCCCTAGATAAGTGAGTGAATGAAGTAACCTCTTTCAAATCCCTCCCGTTGATGGTGATTGACGTTGGATGTTGTTGCTGTTGTTGGTTGGTTATTTTCATAACCTCCGTCTTGTCTATGTTTACCTGGAGTCCTGTCTTTGCTGCTTCTTCGACCAGTTTGTCGGTTTTCGCTTGTAAGTCTTCGATTGTGTGTGACATCAAACATAAATCATCCACGCGCGAAATCCAGGTCTTCTAGGTTCTTCACGTCGGTCCAGGATATTCCTGTCTTCTCGTTTCCCACTGTCTGACGCATAATCCAGTCCACCACAATTAGGAATATCATTGGTGATAATAGGCACCCTTGTCTGACTCCTGTGTTTACTCCAAACGCCTCGCTGAGTTTTCCGTTGTGGATCACTTGGCAGGTGCCGTTGTCGTACAGCTGTTGAATAAGGTTGATGAATATTTGGGGTACGCCATAGTACTCGAGTAATTTCCAAATTACTTCACGATCAACGCTGTCGAAGGCCTTCTCAAAGTCTATAAAGTTGAGGTAGAGGTTTGATTGCCATTCCATGCTTTGTTCTGTGATGATGATGCGTAGAGTTGCAATTTGGTCAGTACATGATTTGCCTTTCCTGAATCCAGCTTGTTCTGGTCGGAGTTCTGTCTCCAGTGCGTCCTTTAATCTCTCCAGGATGATGCGACTCAGGATTTTACTTGGCGTCGATAGGAGCATGATTCCTCGCCAGTTCTTGCAGAGTGAGGCGTAAGTCGCCCTTCTTTGGTAGTTTCACGAGGTAACCTTTCCTCCAGTCAGTAGGCACCTTTCCCTCCTTCCAGACCTTTTGCAATAATGGAGTCAGCATGTCTGCTGTAGTCTCTGGGTCCGCTTTCAGTGCTTCAGGGGGTATTCCATCTGGTCCGGCTGTTTTTCCAGCTTTCAGAAGCTTGATTGCGTTCAAGACTTCAGCTCTCGTTGGAGGATTGGTGTCAACTTGCAGTTGTGTGCGCGCTGTTGTTGGTATTTCTGGACGGGTTGCAGGTGATGGTCGGTTCAAGAGTCCTTTGAAGTGATCCGCCCATTGTTTAATCTGTTTTTCTTCCTTGGTAATTGGGTTCCCTTGGCTGTCTTTTATAGGTTTCGCTTGTGTTGGTCTCTTCCCGGATAGAGATTTGGTTATCTGATATAGTGTCCTCAGGTCCCTTTTGCCTGCTGCCTTCTCAGCTTCAGTGGCCAGATTGTCGTAGAATCGTCTTTTGTCCTTCCTAGCACTCTTCTTCACTTCTTTGTCCAGTGCTGTGTAAGTTGAGCTCATCGTCTCCTTCTCCTGTCCGTCCTTGCATTGAATCATTTTCTCTTTCACCATTCTCCTCTCTTCTATTAATTTCCAAGTGTCCGTTGAGAGCCATTCCTTGTCTTGTCTCTTCTTTCTTCCTAGAACCGTTGAACACGTTTCGTTGAGAATCGCCTTCAGAGACTTCCAATGTTCTTCCACGCATGATTCTTCAGTGATGTCGCGTAGTGTTTCCTGCTTTGCTCTGACAGTTGCAGTGAAAGTGTCTTTTGTGGTTGTGTCCTTCAGTAATTGAGTGTTGAACTTGCATTGTGGCCTATCCCCAGCTATCCTCGAGGCTTTTAGTTTCACCTTGAAAGTCCCTTCTACTAGATAGTGGTCTGAACCCACATCTGCTCCTCTCCTTGACCTTGTGTCCAGTAGGCTCCGTCTCCACTTTCTTGAAATTGAGATGAAGTCTATTTGATTCTTGGTGTTCCATCTGGTGAAATCCATGTCGTCTTGTGTATATCCTTGTGTTTGAACACACTGCCACCAATCACCAAATCATTGAAGGCGCAGAAGTCTGAGAAGAGTTCACCATTGTCGTTCATTTCACCGAGGGCCTCACGACCCATGGTGAGTTCTCTTCCTGTGTTGTCTCCTCCCAGCTTCGCATTCATGTCGCCCATCAGGATTTTGATATCGCCATTTGGGACGTTGTCCATTATTGCTTGTAGTTGTCTGTAGAACGCCTCCTTCTTCTCTTGTTCTGAGACGTTTGTAGGCGCATAACATTGAATGACTGTAACTTTCCTTCCTTTTGAGTTGAACCTGGCTGTCATTATCCTGGAGGAGATTGGTTCCCACTGCATGAGAGCTTTGGTTGCTGTTGGTGACATCATGATGGCCACTCCCTCGGTGTGCTCATGGTTGTCCTCTGGGTGGCCGGAATAGATTACTGTCTCTCCAGTAGGTAGTTGGCACCTTCCAGTTCCGTTCCATCTGCTCTCGCAGATTCCCAACACTTCTATTCTGTACCTTCTCATTTCAGCGGCTATCTGGGCAGCCTTTCCAGTTTCGTACATTGTGCGAACATTCCAGGTACCCATCCTTACTTTTGCTTTCATCGAAAGAAGGCACATCGGCTGACTGGCTTCCCGAAGGCTTTCACCAGCCTGCGTCATTTCACTTCCCCGATTCCAGCGAAAAGTAAGGCTATTGCTTATGTTTTTAGAATTTTTAATATATTTATTCGTTGAAGTTTCTGTAGCGATTTGGTTGTTTTACAGGGGTGGAGTTGCTAGCACCACGCCCCAACCCTCCCTCTTTACCCGGGCTTGAGTCTGGCTAGAAAACTAGAAAGCTAGTAGCCTAGTAAGCTAGTATCTGGCAAGGTTGTACGTATACATTTGAACTTTTATAAGAAGAAGTCAGCGAATGAAAATGATAGCCACCTTGGACCTGAAATGTTTAATGAAGATGTCTCCAAGCGTATCCCAAATTGACGGGATTCGAACACCTGACAAGGTATATAAAACACGATATCTCAGTCAAGTAAAACTTCAACCTGCACAAGGTTAGCCAGACAAATACTAAGTTCAGGTTCGATTTCCGACAGACTCAGTCCGTAGCCCCCCCCCCTTCATTTACCAGTTGACAGTAGGCTCAGAACAAAGGAAAGGTGGAGCGTGAGGCTAGCAACTTAACCTCATAAAACAGGCGACAACACTGCTAGTGAGACCTCAAAGTCTGTAACCTTATATCCTACTTGGAGGCATAACAATGGGATTGCCTCAAAACATGCCTAATAATCTAGTCTTTGTTTAATTACACCTCAAATGGTTATCAATATGGTTTACTATAACGTATAAGTGTGGTTTTAAACAATGACAAATAACGCTTTTTTAAATTTTGTTTTACTGTTTAGTTGAACCGCTACCGTCTGAAAGATATCAAGTTGACGTGCCTATAAGTAAGACATCAATGAAGAATAAAAGTGAGTTTTTATTGTTAATTGTTTATTTCTAATGAATTCAACTAATTCTTAAACACGCTTCACATCTGATATGTGAAAATGAGCCTGGTTCACTGTTTTACTAAACGTGCTTATTCTGGTGGTACCACCGGCAGCAGTACCATTTCAACTACAGAAGGGATGGATCAGGGTGTCAGTAGCAGGATCGGATAACCAAGAAAGGCCTACATCATTCTAAATTCAGTATGGAAAGCTACTTTGCTTCGGGTTCTCAACACTAATGTTAATTCAGTAATTTCTTCCACATGGTTCAGGAACCCAATGCATTACCAGAAGCATTTGAAGTAAGCTACTGCAAGAAAGGAGTAGCAGTCAGGAACTCTAGCAATAAGCCAACCAGCAACCTGTTGATCAACAAATAATCCGATTTGAAGTATAGATTGATTAAACATATACTGGCGAGACTGGGCGCCAGGAAGATCCGGGAGTGAAACTAGAGTGGGAAATAGCTAGTTGGGCAACCGGGTATAATATGAAGGAGATGGGCAGTCAGCGAACCAGCTTAAGACGACTGTAGAAAAGAAGATGAAACGAAGCTGTGCTATTGACGACTTATGTTCCACTCGGAACCTAATAGATTATTAAATAAATAATAGCCAACTGCATTCAACAGCATGTGGTTGGATATACATATCTTTTTGGAGCTAAGATTACTGATAAATTGATGAATTCATCGCATGTAGCTGATTGAAGACTGCGGTGTTTTAGTGTGCTCATAAAAAGTGACTTCAGTAGGTCTGCAAGCCTGAACTACAGTACTACGACTTATCGAGTTTTCCAGGAAATATTGGATTCTGTCTAATGAGACTACAAACATTACATTGATCACTCCAAAGTATTTAATCACCTTGTCAGTTACATTCTTACAGAGCTCAAAACTGTCAGCGACAACGTCGCTCAATGCAGCATTGTGTGACAATGGTTCGAATCTAGAGGTTTCACGTGCGTTTCGGATTGTGAGGGCGATTGTTACTTCCCGGCTGCCCACACCGTGGAAGTTGGTTGCGTGACCGCAGAGCGCAGGGGACAACTGTTTGAGGCCGGTCACACGCGGCCTGCTTTTGTTTGTTCTTTGTTGTTTTGTGTGCCTCAGTAGCATATTTATCACTCCTGCACTGTGACACGGCAGCAGGAAGCGCGGTCGTTGTTAATCCGGGCCACAGCCGATCCGGCATCAAATTTTGTGATTTTGTATTTATCATGATGTTGGGTTGGGTAGCTGCTTTTTGTTTAACCGCTATCCAAACAACCTGCCTGGCATGGTAGGACCTCAAGAGACATAAGTCTCAGCCAGTATAGCTTGAATAGATCATTGCGGTGTTCAAGCCCGACCACCACGTCAAGGTAGCAGCTTTCGGTCGGGTTCGAATCTAGAAGGATACATCAAGTGTTTTGAGGTTGAAAATATGGTTCTTTGACGGATCCGAGTAATCTCCAAATAACTTAAACCATTTAAAAATGTCTTCAAGCTTTCTAGACATAATTGCGCTTTTAAGTTATCAGATTTCTAGTGAAAAACTTTGTGTTTTCACAATTAAAATAAGTTTCAAGTCATATACCCATACACACACACACTTGCAAAAGAAACAAATGAGATTAGACTTGCCAGACAATGGTCTTTTTTATCGTGTTACATATTAACAGCGAAATAATCACGTATTATAATGTAACAGAGCTGTCAACTGGTTACATAATGAAACATGAATTTGATGATAAGACATACAGAAAAGTTGAAAATAAATCAGAGAATCCAAACTCTATCATTTAAAAACGTAAGAAGAATTGACGTGATTGAGCAGTGTTGAGAAATGGGACTAATTAACAGCACTTGGTAGAGATAAGCAGCCAGCAATGAAATGAAAATGAACCAAACATTATTGGAGTTATTATTTCACTGCAGTTTAGGCCAGTGAGTTAGTTTAAATCTAAACAGTATATGGCGGATTGAAGGTAATGTTATTTATTTCATCTAACGACACAGATATAACTATCAGGCTACTGTTTCAGAATAAATCATGAATGAACTTATATTATTAATGATTTATATTGTTAATGAGTAGTTACTGAAACTGAAACCAATTTGGGCATGTTCTACACTGAGCATAAGGAACAAGATTGGAACTTTCAAAACAAATGTGAAGTCGGTCCTTCTATAGGGGTCAGAAAAGGATTTCCAGCAGGTTGCAGACTTTTATCACCAGCCGTCTTCATTCCATACAGAAGATCGTATAGTTGGACAGAAAGAACTAGTAACACACGAAACTCTGGAAGCAAAACGACCAAAAGTCGATTGTTTAACAAATATGTCGGTGAAGATGGAGATCGATCGGGCAGTAGGCGGGTAATGCAGACCATCGCTCAAGTGGAATCCAAATAAGAAGAGAGAAGTTGGTCGTACTAGGATGACATGAATGAGACTGTATTAAGGACGAGGAGACAAGATACTTTGGTAGTTCGTGGACCCATATAAAGATGACAGCGGAGAACAAAGCAAAGTGAAGATGTTTTGTTGAAGCCCCACATTCCACTTTGAACTCGAGGTAATAATAATAATTTTAGCTAGTTTGCTCTCTTCTCTCTTTTCACAGATTATCTAAGAATCGAACAATAATACCAAGCAGACTGATATCAGTCGCTTCTACATGAAGGAATGGAAATGATACTATATGAAACTTACTCATTAAGCTGTCCAGCTACTTATAAACGCTACCTAGGACAAGTTGTAGGGTCATTAATTTTACAGGGAACAATCAGATTAAAACACTAGTAATGCATTTAAAGAACTGAACTATTAGTTGTTTTCGACATTTCCTTTTCTGTATGCGTGGTTGTAACAGAATGTATACTACGTCTTTTAACAACCAGTTTATGTCTCAGGATGTCTACTTTGATTATTGGAATGTATTCTAGCTGTTGCAGTCTCCTTTGTAAATGACGTTGGATTTTTCTTCTGCTGATATTGGACTAGTATTTCTTGTTCTTGTTATGATAACAATGAATATTATATCTACTTAGGTTATGAGTAGGGAATACGGTATCAACAGGACATCTCTATTTCATCCTGTTTTCTGCAGTTCCCTTAGCAAAGTTCAACATTAGCGTCCAAAGGGATGCAAACACACGAGTGACCTCGAGCCGACCATTCATAAAACATGGGTAATGATGCGTAAAAATCACGTATATTTACACGAAAATGCATCACAACACATTAAACAAGGGTATCTTTTCCAAACATAACTTAAAAACACGACTCATTTATAGTGAGGAGTACTAGTTAGACTTGTGTCGGTAGATGCATTAACCTAGGCGACTGATGAGCTGTTTTGTGAATCGTTTATCTCTCTTATCTTATTGTGCAGTCTTCTCCAAAAGCTTTCGGTTGAATTACTATGGTTTCCAGTGAGAGGATTGATGACTTCCAACCAGGAAAATGTGGAAAATAAAACAAAACAAAATAAGTGGTATTAACTGTAAATCTATCTCGAGTTGTAACCCCAATCTTAATCCTGACCTTAACCATAAACTTAAGATTAACCCTGACCATAATCCTAACCCTAATTACAACCCTTATCCTGAACCTAACTCTAACCCCATTACTTACCTTAACCATTAGTTACCGTGACCCTGACGAGCTATTGACACATTGTCCAAACAGTACTTAAAAATGTGATCTGGGTGAAATATACTGTTTAGTTGGTGAATAGCGTTGATATTTCAGCTATGATAATGAAAGGTGCCATTGGCCAACGACTAGCATGCGTCCAAGCTTATTGGAGCACTTGCACTCCTGGAACGCTTTCGCTGAACTTCGCTGTTCTATTCAACTGGCTCCACGATTGCTCATAAACTTGTAACCTCCCCATGTCGCAGTGAACGTTCACCCGACTCGTCGTTTCTCTTTCAGGTTCTGTTAGAGAATGTACCTCATACGTGATGTAACTCACCTGTCTCATCAGCTTGTGTCCATTTCAACTTCATGTTATTCGGCTTTGTTTCGGGTAGTTTGTAGCCAGATTTCTATTGCAGCTAATTGTTTCTAGTAATTTCACCTTTCATTTCGAAACAACAAAGGCAGCTTTTGATGATGGTCTGACGTTGCCTATTGGAAATGCTTGCAGTGACATGCACACTAAATCTCTGAACCATATAGAAACAGTCACTGAAATGACATTAGTTTTCAGAATTTGAATTCTGTTCTTCATGTTTATAGCGGTAGATTTCCAAACCGATTTCAGACTGATGGTCTGTCTGGTTTTTTCGATCGTAGCTGCATTATTCTCATCCACTCCGATTGTGTTTAAAATTATGCTGGCTAAAGAAGTGAAAGGATCGAGTTACTTTACATTTTACCGTTGAAATTGACTGGTGATTGTTGTTTTCTTAGAACATCTGATAGAATCCGGACACTAAGCTGCACCCCCAAACAAACTTCAAAGTAGTCTACAGAGTAAGAAGTAGTCTTCCTAAAGGTGTACGAATCAGACTTCTTCAAACTGCACAAGCAATGGCGATTCACTTGCTAAGCCCTGAACTCTGCATACAGAAGAAGTTTGTTCAATCACTACACTTACAATGAACTTAATCTGTCTTATTACCTGAAAAGTGAATTCTACCTAATCTTTTTTTTCTTTCATTGGTATTATTCTGTCTTCTTAATTGTAATATTTTGCATTTTCAACTTTCTTGTTCTCTACCCCCACCCGACTTAATTTCTACACCTCACTACCACTTTAATTGACCTGACCAACGCTCAATTTCTAGTCATTGTTGTTTTCAATAATTTAATAATTTCCATTGTAGCATTAAGAACACAATTTTCAGCGAAGAGACTCTTTTCAACGAATTTTTTATCAAGCTGTACAATCGTATATATATGGTTTTATAGAGAGATTATATCCGGTGAGGGAATTAGGTCAAAGGTGTAAATATATGAAATAATAATAGTATGAAATAAATTTAAA